AATTTTTTTTAACTAAAGTATATTTGTCATACAATGTTATATTAGTTTTAGGTGTAGAATATAGTGATTCTGACAATTCTTTATATTAATCAGTTTTCACCACTATAAGTGTAGTCACCATACAATGTTATTACAATATTATGGACTATATTCCCTATGCCCTATGCTGTACCTTTCATCTTAGTGCTTTACTAATTTTATAGCTGGGAGTTTGTACTTCTCAATCCCCTTTGCCTATTTTTCCCATCCTCCCATCTTCCTCCCCTCTGGCAATCACCAGTTTGTTCTCTGTGTTTATGAGTCTGTTTCTGTTTTTTTTTTGTTGTTGTTGTTCATTTGTTTTGTTTTGTTTAGATTCCACAAATAAGTCAAATTGTATGGTGTTTGTCTTTCCTTATCTGACTTATTTCACTTAGCTTTTTATACTCTGTAGCTCCATCCATGTTGTCATAAAATTATACCACTCTTGACTGTTGTTATGGAAACCAAATGGGGTAAATATAAATTCTATAAAATCATATAAAGTTTTATTATTGTCTGAACTCTCCTCCCTACCCAGCAGAACTTAAAGGGCAGCAAGTTCTGCCCCTTTAATTCTACTTGGGAGGTGAATTGAGGTGGGAAGTGGGTAGAATAGCAAAGAAAATTAAAAAACAGCATCTATGGGGCACCTAGGTGGTTCAGTGGTTGAGCACCTGCGTTTGGCTTAGGTCACGATCCCAGAGTCCTGGGATCTAGTCCCACATCGGGCTCCCACAGGGAGCCTACTTCTCCCTCTGCCTATGTCTCTGTCTCTCTCTGTGTCTCTCATGAATAAATAAATAAAATCTTTAAAAAAATTAAAAATAAACAAAAACAGCATCCATATAGAATTATACACATGTGGCCTTTTATGTCTGACTTCATTCATTTAGCATGTTTCAAGGTTCATTCATGTTGTAGAATATACCAAAACTTCATTTTTAAAAAGCTGCTGAGTTAAATGTATGAATGTAGCACTTTCATGTTGTATACCGCACACTATATACCCAGTCATCCATGCATGGACATTTGTGTTGTTTCTACTTTTTTGCTATTTTGAATAATGCTGCTATGACCTTTCCCATACAAGTTTTTATGGAGACATATGTTCATAACCAAGAAAATATCAAGGAGCACATAGAGAAGCCTGCTCTGTGAGGGTTTGTCTGTTGCAGAGGCTGTCCAGGTTCTCCTACTGCCAGGCACCCAGCGCAGAGCTCATGGCACTCCCGAAGAGTGAGATGTCAGGAGTCAGGTGGAGGCCACTAGGGTCTCCCTTTCCTCTCACGCTAATGTCAGGGTACTGGTTCAGTCTTGCATTACTCAGGATGAGCATTATTGCTGGTTGCTGTCCAAAGAGGTGGCTTTGGTTTGGAAGGTAGATTCTATTTCTTCCTACCCTATGTATGGCACATACTCTCCCTGATATTCAGGTGCCTTGTTTGGGAGATGGAGGCAATAATAGCTACTTCACAGAGTGTAGGATGAGAACGAGACCATGGCTGTGAGGCACCCCATCTCAGAGCAGGTGCTATTGCCATTAGTAGTGACCCCGTGCAGTAGGACAATTGAAGGCACAAAGGACACAGGTCAGAGATGAAGCCCTTTGAATGACATAACTATTATAGAGATATTTAAATCATCTTTCCCATAAGTGGCAAGTGGCAAGCTACACACCAGGAAGGCTTGTGTCTCCAAGTTCAATACATCCCAGTACTTCCCATAAGTACTCATTTATTTGCTAGGACTGCCATAACAAAATACAGCAGACCAGTTGACTTAAACAGCCCGAATTTATTGTTTCACAGTTCTTGAGGCTCAGGTCCAAGGTCAAGATGGGATCAAGTTTGCTTTCTCCTATGGCCTCTCTCCTTGGCTTGCAGATGGCCACTTTATGTGTCCTCACATGGTCTTTTCTCTGTGCACCTGCATCCCTGGTGTCTCTGTGTGCTCAAAATTCCTCCTCTTATAAGGTCACCAGATAGGTTGGATTAGGGCCCACCTAATGGCCTCATTTTAACTTAATCATGTCTTCAAAGGCTCTGTCTCCAAATCCAGTCATACCTTTGAGGTACTGGATATGGGGCTTCTCCATATGAGAAGTATGGGGGAGACATATTCAGCCTATAGTAAGCACCTAAGCAGCAACTACTCTGCCCCAGGCATGGGAAATAAAGAAAGGAAAGGCTAGGTCTTGCCCAAGGACACTCAATCTTTTGGAAGAGATAGACAGACAGACTACTATAAAATGCCTTTTCTCCATTTACCTTGCCCTGTGTCTTACGTGTAATGTACGGTCTTTGCAAATGTATCATCAAGTATACATTTCAGCTTTGCCCATTGGAGGATCTCAATTCAACCAGATCGAACTCTCTAGTCTTTACCAGCTCAGGAAGAGTATTTATCGGAACCCATTGAGAAACAGGGGAAGGTTAGCCAAGAGCCAGACTGAGGTGAAATAAATAAGTAGTTGAGATTGAAGTTTGTCTTCACAGGCCTCTTTTCCACCCCTTTCTGCCAAATTTTAGTGACCTTCAAATACTGCCAGCCAGAGGCTCCCCACACTCCCTGCATACCCAGTGTCCCAAAGTCAAGGCTGTTGCATCCCCTCCACACACCCAACCACACCTACTTTATGTCTTTGTTCTCTGCTTTCCAAGATGATAGAGGCATAAGATTAAAAATTGAGCACTTTCATAGATCGCCTGTGTGGCTCAGTTGGTTAAATGTCTGCCTTTGGCTTAGGTCATGATCCCAGACTCCTGGGATTGAACCCCTCATTGAGCTCCCTGCTCAGCAGGGGGTCTGCTTCTCCCTCTTGTCTCCCCCCTTATATTCTATCTCTTGCTTTCTCTCTTTCAAATAAATAAAATCTTTTTTTTTAACTGAGTACTTTCAGTATGCTGGGCAATAATTAGACACTTTACATATGTCATCTAATTTGATCTTCAAAACAACTATTTCACCTCTTTTGATATATGAGGTAACTGAACTCACATAAGGTAGCATTCAGTAAACAGCATCCTTTAAATGCAAATATTTCTAATTTCACTAAGACCTTCAGACTCTCAGCTATTAGTGATATGAACAGCTGTTGATCTCTGTGAAGATAATGCCCTGATTGATTACATTGGTAGTCAGTCATAGGTTGGATTCCTAGAATCAGTACCTGAGAGGAATTTGGGTGCCTATGACTTCTTGAGGGTAAGCTCTCAGGAGAAAGAAGAAAGGCAGCAGGAAGTGGAGGCAGGGGCAGAGGCTGAGCAAGGATATGCTCTCTCAATCTAGCTACAGGGCTTGATCTCATAGTGAGCTCTGAAGCATCAATCATCTGCAGAATTGCCACTACCTTGAGACAAGAGATTCCCCTTTTGCCCTGGGTCATTCAGCCATTGGCTGTAGGTCCAATACATTCCATTTCTCACCTACTTCTAGGGTGAGGGTATGGACATTCTAAAAGAAGACCCCAAGAAAATGATGACATAATCTAAAGGAATGTGTCTTTACCACTTCAGGTCCTATGGCAAGTTATTGCAGGAGATGCTTTGCATCAGAGGGTGAGAGACAGGGTCTTTTAGAATCCCTGAATCATACCTATGAACAGCTGCCCAGTAGTATGGTTTTAGTTTGAAATAGCATTTATAGTTTAATGAGTAATGTTTGTGTACATTTTTCATTTAATTATCACAAACCTGTGATGGCCAGTTTCATTAGTCCATTTTATAAGGAATTTATGTGGTTCAGTTACAGAATCTTTTCTTAAAGATTTTATTTATTTATTTATTTATTTATTTATTTATTTATTTACTGAGAGAGAGAGCATGCACACCAGCATGGAGGAGGGGCAGAGGAAGAGAGAGAAACAGACTACCCTCTGAGCAGGGAGGCCTACTCAGGGTCTTGATCCCAGGACCCCAGGATCATGACCTGAGCCAAAGGCAGACACTTAACCTACTGAGCCACCTAAGCTCCCCTCAGTCACAGAACTTTGAATGAATAAAGCTGGGCCTACAACTTGCTTCTTGAGATCTAATGTCCCACCATCATTTCATACATTTATAGTTGGATGGATTCTGCAAATAATATAATACCCCACAAAGGAGGTCAGTCATCCCCATTTGCCCAGGACGTTTTCAGTTTTAAAACTGAAAATCCAAAAAAAAAAAAAACCAAAAAAAATAATAAACTGAAATCCCACATTCAGGGAAACCCAGGGTTAACTTAACCGTTAAACAAAGAAAACAGTGCCTAGGGCCAATGATAGCTTTAGGGGCCTACAAAAAGTTTCTAATTTTAATTCCTTTTAACAGCAGAAGAAAAAAATGAATATTATAATAATAACAATTGTATGCTAATTAAGCCAGCCTGTATTATTTTTCATCTTTATACTAACAATAAAAAAATATTATTTTTAACTGTGTGGGCATGTGTGTGTATGTCTGTGCCTGCCTGTGTGAAGGAAGAGGCCTATGAAAGCAAAAGTGTCTAGGATTCACAAAGTCATAATGCAGCCCTGAGTTCATTTTGGCTTCCCCAAGGGGCCACTTCCCTTCAGGGCACTCTGCATATTGTGCTGTGAATTCCACGTCTCAATTTCCCTATTGACCTGACCAGACATTTCTCTTACTCATCTTTTTGTCTCTGACTCCTGGCTTAGCGCCAAGCATACTATAAGCACTCAATGCACATTTATTGATTGAATAAATGAGTTAATTGATGGTCTCATTCAGCCAATTGTTTGTTATATAATATAGGAGACATTAACTGCTCTTGGCCTCAATTTCTGCATCTGTAAAATAAATATGTTGGAATAGATGAACTCTTAGGTTCTTAGGGGGCACTTTATATCATGTATTCATTGTAACAGATCATGTGATTTTCTTAATGTCCTTTAAAAATGTGTTTCGTTACCAGTGAAAGAGTTCCTTGTAGATTCTTAGAGTCATTGCTGTTTTTCCCCCTCCTTATTTTTCTTTTAGATCCTTTCTGGAGGCAGCATGTCCAATTTTACCTCAAGAAAAATGTCTCCCACAGGAAATGGTAATGTAGATAATATTTTCCTTACTCAGAAAACTTAAAAATCTGAGAAAAACAATGCTTAGCTCTTAATTCTTTTATATAGAGTGGAATGCTTAGAAGCAACAGTCTAACCTAATTAACATTCCAAAGTTAGGCTTAAGGAAAAAGAGTGCTATAGCTTTTACTCATGTAATTGCAATTCAAATTTAAAAAAAAATCAAGGGATCCCTGGGTGGTGCAGCGGTTTGGCGCCTGCCTTTGGCCAAGGGCGCGATCCTGGAGACCCAGGATCGAATCCCATGTCGGGCTCCCGGTGCATGGAGCCTGCTTCTCCCTCTGCCTATGTCTCTGCCTCTCTCTCTCTCTCTCTCTATCATAAATAAATAAAAAAAAAATTTAAAAAAAAAATAAAAATAAAAATAAAAAAAAATCAATAAAAATGTTCTTTTGTCTGTGGGACATTCCATGTTTCTGACTCCCCTGAGATTAATGATTCCAGTTATATATAGTCAGAAGCACCAGGACTTCTTGACTATCATTTACTAAGTACTTGTAAAACAGTCTTGTGTATACTTCTTTTTGAATAAAATTGCCAACCCACCAAACCCTGGCTTGTTTTATCCCATGCGTGTATTTCTATATTTCTGGGTGCCACATGGGACTTCATGAAGCACACTGGTAGTTTCACTTGGCACCTGAGCAGTTTTGTATGTTATCTTTGATGATGTGATATGGGATTTGTTCTTTCTTACCAGTGCATCCAACTTTAAAACAGTACTGGCCTTGTCATCCTAGAGGATTGATGCTGGCCAGTTGAGATGTGCTTCTCAAGACATCTAGGTTAACAAACTCACACCTAACCCCATGCAATTGCATCTCTTAGTGTTTTATTTTTTCTGTTGATAGGTATAAAGAGTACCACTCAGGGGACCACACTGAGACAACAGGGTTTTCATGAGGTGAACAAAAGAAGGACTTTCTTACAGGACAACAGCTGGATAAAGAAACGTCCTGAAGAAGAAAAGTAAGAGGGTATGGAGAGGGTGGGTGATGAGACAGCCATTTTCTAACTGGGAAGCTAGTAGCTATCTGAAAAACAAGTTTCCCAAGAGGTAATATTTAATCCAAGGTAGGGAGACTCCTGATGCATGTTAATCATGTCAGTTGAAACAAACAAATAGTATAATTCCTAATTTACAAATTTAATAATAATTTATCTAAAATCTCTGTATATGCAAGTGAGATCAATACATTCTCAACTCATTTTAGTCCCATTGGTCATGTATCTTCAGGTATTGGTAGGTGGCACATGTGTTATTATTTTGCAAGGGAAAAAACACTTATCAACAAGAAAGTTTTGTCTGTTTTGAGCATTGCTTCTACTAACTCTGTGTTATAGATCTGAAAACTACAACTGCAGGCATATTGCCTCATTGCCAACATTGATTTACAATAGACATTTGTCCAGCCCAGATATATTTATTACAAATTACATTTGTACATATATGTATGTTATTTTATTCCCTCTTATGTGTAGGTACATACTTTATATATCAAACATCTTTAAGTCTCACAAATTACACAAGGTAGGTATTACATCCTCTATTTTATAGAAGAGGGATTTGAGGCTCAGAAAGGTTGAGTAGCTTGTCCAGTCCACACAGCTATTAAGAGATGGAGTTAAGATTTTAAGATGACCCATTGTCTTTCTATTACACCAATGGTTCTCATTCAGGAACAGTTTTATCCTCAGGGGATGTTTGGTAAGATCTGGAGACTTTTTCAATTATAAAACTGGGGAATACTTCTTACATCTAGTTGGTAGAGGCCATGGATGCTGCTAAACATCTTACAATGCACAGGGCACTACCCACAACACAAAATCATCAAGCCCACAGTGTCATAGCATTGACAATGAGAAGCTCTGCATTATAGGATACTCTAAACTTTCTACTAAACTGCCCATATACAGTTATTTGAGGAACATACTGTAACTGTTAAATAAAGATGTCTATTAATTTATGTTATTAAATATTATTATTTTAAGGGCATATAGGAGTATTTAGAGACTTACATTGGGTTCTGGAGTTAACATTCTTGGGGAATGATCACATTCTTTAGTAACAAACACTTACTACTTCTGTCAGAGCCTAATATGGCACTTCTATTTTTCCATAGTGGTAGAATGATGTCAAATGTGAATCATAAATTCTGTGTTGCAAATGTGTGCACAGATGGGTATAGATAGAGTTGTCTAGGACAAATCATAAGGGATAAGAATGATGGTTTTATGCCTGGCATACCTGCTTTATAAAGGCCCAGGGAGGACAGCTTGGAAGGCATGACAGCTACTGAGTGAAGGAGAAATGGGCTCTGATGCTTCCCCCATTCATGCTGGCCCAGTTCTGGCCTGTGTGTTATAATTCTTCTTTAGGTCAGAAAGTGTCTGGTGCCTGCTACTCTCTCACAAGTTTAGGGAAGGGATATCAAGAGAGATGGAAAAGTCCTCTTGGGATTTTTGAGGATATAAATTTGCTGGAATTGTTTCAGTTTCACTGTTCATCTTTCTTTTTAATTATCTACCACAGTTTCTTGTATAGATTTATTATAAATAGTTCTAGAGGGTTGAGTAATGTTAGGGGAGCAGAGCCAGAAGCAATGCGGTATTTCAGGTTTGGTTGGGTTGACATAAAAAAGGTTCAGATATTTACTCTTCTGCCTTGGTTCAAGGCCAAAAGCCCTATTACATGTTTTAACATTTCCTAAAATTGCCTGCGCTTTCAGATCTGCTGTACAAGGCAAGAAAGACATGGTTTGAGATTTTATATATGAAGGTCTATGTATGTATAAATTGTTATGTATGAAGGAAAAGCAAAGGTTTGAGATAAAAAGATCTGGGTCTTAGATCTATTCCTGTCACTAACTAATCTTTTGGTCTTAGGAAAACCACAAAACCACAAAATCTCTGAAAATTTCTTCTTCTGTGAATTTGGTATGACAGGGTCTTCCTTGCCTAATTCATAGGATTATTTTAAGGACCAAACAGGTGTCATGGTTCAAAAATGAGCTAACGCTCCTGCGAATGATCCACCTCCTTAACCACAAATATTGGTACTTATTTTCCTGCTTTTTATCAAGGAAAACTATCAAGTCCATCAAATGAAAAAATGTCTAAGTATAAAGGAATTAATTAAATTCGAGACATGTTTGTAGAAAGCTTTTGCCCTCCTGCAGAAAAGGACTCTTGTAATGTGCACAAAGTAGATGTCCACATGTTCTATACTCTGATAGGAAAAAAACCCCACTCATTCCTTTGTTGAATCATATGGAAATCTCATGGGATAAATGAGAATAATCATCATTTGTTCTGACAAACTTGTTTCTTTTCACACGGTCTTTCAAGGGGAGACTGGGAAGAATAAATGCATACTTATGTTCTTATGTGTGAAATAAAATGAATTAACCTTATTCTAAATCGTGAGCTCTTTCCCCTATCTCCCTTATTTAGTGCTTTCCCCTATCTCCCTTATTTAGTGCTTACCAAATACTGTGGTAACTTTCCATGTGACTTAGTTTTGTTCTTTCTTTACAGAGATGAAAATTATGGTAGGGTGGTGCTCAACCGACACAACTCCCATGATGCCTTGGACAGGTGGGTGTTTCAGACAAGTTGCATCATTAGCAGAAACACAAAGACGATAGTTTTGAGAGACTTGTTCAAGTCAGGCTGAATATTTGTGGCTAGCCTCAGGCTTTCCCTGGCATTCTGGAAGACTTTGTGATATCATCAGGAGTTTCCACAGAGCAAAGTCTGTGCTTCTCCAGCTCCATGCTTCCAGAACCACAGTCTGGAGGTATAGAATAACCAGTGCATGGAGGTGGCCCTCTTGATGGAAAAAAAAGGGAGGCCACAGAAATGTGACCAGATAAGATATCTCAGAACCTTAGGAAAAGGAACCCTAAAATACAGAAATAACAGCCCCAGAGTTCACTTGCTTTATGGGCAGTACACTTCTTTCTAGAAACTCCTAAGCTTGTGGAAAACCATTAAATAATACGGAGTAGCAAAAAGACTGACAGGCGAATCAGAAGAAAAATTCAGAAAAGACTTGTAATCACAATAATGAAAATGATCTAAGATTGATAAAATTAGTAGATAATACTCTTGTTAAAGCAGATTTGTGTTCACACACATACAAACAACCACACCCATCAGAGGAACCTAAGTATTTATCAGACACAAGTTTTATCTGGTCCAGTAGCCTGTCTCTGTCACCACAATGTATTTAGTAAAGGAGTGTGATTGTCACGGTGTGGACTTTAAAAAATTAAGTAGACAACTTGAATATTTTAGAAACTTTTACTTATGAATTTTTTTAAACCCTTTTAAACCTGTTCATGATTTTGACCTGTTCTAAGGGTACTGAGCTTAGAACACTATACACAAAGTAGCTATTTGGTTTTCTGGTTCACAGCCTTAGTTCATCTGATTGATTGTTCTGTGACTACCTTTGCCCTCTTCTTGGTTTTCATGATTTCAGAGATTACAGCCTTGATCTCAGTCGGCTCTCAACTTGCCAAACAAAGGGAGTCTGATCATTTCAGTCTAGCTACCAGTGGAAATTGCTTCCTCCATTATACTGGCTAACTCCCCTCCATGTACTGGCTAACATAATACATCGAACTTTTATCTTTTGTAAGAAATGTGAGCCTGAGATGTTTTCCCCTTGACACATAACTAGTGTCTCAAAATACATGTTCCTAGAAGGGTAGTGCAGATGATTTTTCTTCTTGTGCTTGCTCAAATGGATGCCTTCTTGTTCCTTTTCTGCCCTTTCACAGAGTCTGTACCCACTTTAGTGGATGCTTAACACCATTTTGGAACATCTGCTATGTGTTGCCATAGTGGTAGGTGCTAGGAATACAAAGATGCATTAAGATACCACTCTTGACCTTAGGGAGACCATCCATTCTAGAAAAATAGGGATCCATAGACTATAATGCTAAAATTTACCATGGAAGTGCTATTGTAGAACTGTGTGATAGTGCCATGGGAATAGAGGAGATGGCCTAATTCTGCCCAAATTAATCAGAGATGTCACCCAGAATGTGGTCTTTGGTGTTGATGCTGCTATTCAAAGGATAAGGAGGTGGTTCTGAGTAGGGAAGGGTGGCTGGTCGGCATGAGGCAGGACAAAAGTGCTTCCAGCAGAAGTGGCAATGTGTGCAAAAAGCTCCATGTGAGCAGAAACTGAAAATAAAGGAAAGAGAAGATAAACAATATATTATTAGATAACAGTTTCATAGTATGCATGAACTAAGAAATTTTGCTGTCTGCTTCTGCCAGATTGTTTAAACATGACAAACAAGCCTCGTAGCACAAATACTTGCAAAGATGCCTATTGTGAACCAGATAGTGGTCTGAGGTCTGGGAACAAAACAAAGTCCCTGCTTCCATAGAACCTGCATCCTGAGTGAAGATGGAAGAGGAGAGAGACTGAAAATAAATAAACACAGTCTAATATGTTGTATTGCCTTAAGTACTAGGAAGAATAAAGCCAGCTAATGGGACATAAAGTGATGCTGAGAAGGGGCTGTATTACAGATGGGAGTCAGATGGCCCATAGTGCCTGTTTGCATTCATGTATTAAACACAATGATGGACTATATACCATGATTTCCTTCTGAGGTTCATTTAAAACTTAGGGAATTGCATTAGACAATTTTATTTACTTTTATCTTGCATGAATGGACAGTTTCCTCTGATTCCATTTGAAAATGTTCACATCTATTTGTCCTCCAAGGCCCAGCTCAAACCACACCTTATCCATAAAGCCCTCTTTGATTCTTTTACCTAGAAATAAACTTTCTCACCTTAGAACTTCCTTTCACTTTACTTGAACTTCTTTTATGACAATGGCCACTTTCTACCTTTGGGTGTACATATCTAATTTGTCTCTCTGGCTCTGTGGGAGTAAAGTCCATAGTTTTTTGTTCTTGACTTCTTCATAGTCATCAGCATAATAAATTGTATATTGTTTACCTTCAAATATTTGCTTAATAAAAGTACACTCTATCAAGTTAAAAATTAAATTTTAAGTGCATATACTGTATTAGTATTTTTTCAGATTCAGTATCTTTGATCTGTCAACTTCGAATGATGCTTTGAAATGCAAACAGAGTAAATCATGGTGTAATTCATCAAAGAGCTTGCTTTTCCTGTATCACAAGGTTCTATAAGGCATTAAACGGCCTGTTTTCACTCATTGATCTCTCTGATCAAGATATTCCCATTTGCTTTGATGATCTTGATTTCTACTAGTAAGCTTCCTGTCCTTTCTTTTCTTCCTTCTCCCCTTTGTTCTGCTTACTTGTCTTCCTCAACTTTCTTTGCCTTCTGTCTCTCTTCTCCCTACTTCTCCTTATTCCTCCTTCTTCTCCTCTCCTCCCTACATCTATCCTTTCTCTCTTCTCTCACTCTCTTCATCTCTTTCTAGCTTTTCCTCTTTCCTTCCTTTCCTTCCTTCTCCCTTCAGTAGAAAGTTCTTTTTCAACCCTGTCCACGGTGCTGAACTTTAAATAAAGCTATTTGTATTCAGCCTGTTGAACTGCCTAATGGTGCTACTAAAATTCTGCGAACAAAACAAAGCTGATTTTAAGGGATTGAGTTCCTATGATGTAAAAGTCAACAGTATTGATAAGAGTATATATTAGTTATTAACCACGTTGCATGTCATGTTGTTTGTTTTACCTATATTTATCCCCAATTTGAATATGTTACATCGTAGTTAGAAATAATTGGACCTAGAGAAGAATTCCTATATTAGCATGGGTAATTGTGTGTGACATAATTTATCCTATCCACGTTAAAACTTTGGAATATTTAGATGCTCCAAATATGTCTTACTGTGGTAGCATGTACATCTCCTACCTAAATAGGCAAATATTTTACCAAAGGCATGATAGATGTTAAAAACATTTTTTTTGTAATTTATTTGATCTTTCTGTAATTATTTCTTGCTACAGGAAAGCAAATGAGAGAGATGAGCCAAAGGCTACGATTAGTCGGTATAGATCTGATGACACTTTAGACAGGTAAGGTATTTTTGAACCATGTAAGCAGAAAGCAAAATGCATATGAAATCCCCCCCTTTTTTTATCAAGCATGAGGTATTTAAATGTTCACCAAAGTAAGTTTTGAACCATGATATTTTATCCCCAAGGACAGAAGTCTATTCAGATTGAATTATCTTCCTCAAAATTCACAAAATCTTGACTCAACATGCTATTTTTCTAAAATCCTGCTAATAGGAGATTGATAAGGACAATTCTGAAGAAACTGGTTTGAGTATAAGTAAGATGGACACTACACAGAATCTGTTCAGTTTAAAATGGAGAGTCTAGTTATTTTTGTGAATATGAGTAGTGAGTTCTTATTCTAACTTTTGGTCTTTCCATCACAATGGTGGAAAAGTGGCAGTTTCTGTTTTTATGGAGAAACTACATTTTAATAATAAAGTAGTTTTAATCTACTATAGTATAAAGACTCTTTACTTTAGAAAGTGAAACTACTCTTGTGGGTGGCACTACAGTCACCATATGGCCTATTGTCAGTTCATTCCTACACAGAGGAAGAGGGCTCGTCTTTAGGGAGAAAACTGAGAAATGTCTATATTTTTAAAAATTAGGCTCCATACTTAGCATGGAGCCCAGTGTAAGGCTTGAACTCATAACCCTGAGATCAAGACTTGAGCTGATAGCCAAACTGTGGAAGGAGCCTCGGTGTCCATTGAAAGATGAATGAATAAAGAAGATGTGGTTTATGTATACAATGGAATATTACTCAGCCATTAGAAATGACAAATACCCACCATTTGCTTCAACGTGGATGGAACTGGAGGGTATTATGCTAAGTGAAATAAGTCAATCGGAGAAGGACAAACATTATATGGTTTCATTCATTTGGGGAATATAAACAATAGTGAAAGGGAATAGAGGGGAAGGGAGAAGAAATGGGTAGGAAATATCAGAAAAGGAGACAGAACATGGAAGACTCCTAACTCTGGGAAACGAACTAGGGGTGGTGGAAGGGGAGGAGGGCGGGGTTGGGGGTGAATGGGTGGCGGGCACTGAGGGGGGCACTTGACGGGATGAGCACTGGGTGTTATTCTGTATGTTGGCAAATTGAACACCAATAAAAAATAAATTTATTATTAAAAAAAAACAAAAAACATTTAAGCTAGAAAAAAAAAAGAAATGACAAACACCCACCATTTTCTTCGAAGTGGATGGAACTGGAGTGTATTATGCTGAGTAAATAAATCAATTAGAGAAGGAAAAAAAAAAAGGACTTGAGCTGAAATCAAGAGTTAGATGCTTAACTGACTAAGCCACCCAGATGCCCCAAGAAATGTTTATTTAAAGTGTAAAACCTCCACATCACATTTTATCTTATATTTGGTAGAGATGCTTAGTAAGCATATATAAAGAGCAAAATTAACATTTTTAGTTGGAGTCTAGACAATGGACACCTGAGGCCATTGGCATTTGAGGTCACTTGCTCTAGGTAAAGATATGCTGCTATTGTATACAAAAATGCCAACAGCTGAATTTTAAGCATATATGCTAAAATTTATCATATCTAATAGATTCTATATTCAATATTTGTCAGTATTAATTCATGTAGGCAATGTACATCTGTACTATTCATAGGTTTTCAAGCCAGTCTCCCTTAATAGAGGCTAATTTGCACTGGTATTCCTAAGGAATTAACTTCTCTCTGGTAATTAATAGCCTCAAAAAATGAGATCATAGAGGTATATGTACAAGATCTCATCTTCACAGCACTGAGTGGAGAGAGGAGTCAAAATAACTGTCTATTCACATTGGTCTTGGGGGCTGTCCTGTTGCGCCGTTAAGTGAAGACGGAAACCCTATTTCTAGGAATTAATCTGAAAGTGAGATAATTATGCCTCAAGATAGGTAAATATGTAGGGGACCTAAGCCTTTGCAGGCTGTGTATCTGAAGGTCTATATTAGGCCAGTCAAGACAGAGCTTTGGAACATTAGCAATGAACTAGACCAGACCTCACAGGCTAACTATGTGAGTCATTCTCAGCCTCGCTGCAAATTAGAATCAGTGAGAGAGCCTTTAAACTTTACTGATAACTTGGTTCCCCCACCTCTCACTCTCAAAATTCTGATTTAGTTAGACTGAGATGGGACTCAGAAATTTTTAAAGCTTATGAAGTGATTCTAGTTGTGCAGCCAAAATTCAGAACCACCAATCTAGTCCAAGTCCTTTATTTTATACTCTCAAAAATGAGGCCAAAGATTACCTGCTTTATTTACACTAGAGGTTTAGTGGCGAGTTTGGTCTGCTCCTTCCTCAGGAGTCCTGAGTCATAGCAGTATGCCATATCTCTCTAAATGTGGAAATAGATGTGAGGGAGAGAACTCAGGAATCAGTAAAGAAAAGAAAGTCCTATCAGCAGGAATCAGACTTTCATAATTCTGGCCACTCCAAATGTGAGATAGGAAATAATTTTAGGAGGAAAACACCAAAATATATCTGGTATGCACATGTGTATGTAGTTCAATAATGCATTCATTTTATTTTTTATTTTTATTTTTAAATAGTCTCTACATCAAATGTGGGGCTTGAACCCACAAACTTGGAGATGAAGAGCTGTGTGCTCCACCAACTGAGCCAGCTAGTCGCCCTACAATAATGTATTTATTTTTAAATAGGTATGAGAAAAGTACTGACTTGATATTTGGAGTTATCTTTAAATATATATATATACATATATATATATGTATATGTATATGTATATATATACACATATATATATACAGGTAAAAGTATGAAGTGTTCTAAAGAAACAGTAAAATACTAATGTATGTGGCCTGCAATATGGCCCAGATCCTGAAGGTGGTTTAATGACTAATTTGTAAAACCTAGGTTGTGGTGACCTCTAGTGCTCACTTCTGGAAGTGTAACTTTTTCTTTGGTTCTTTTGATCATCTTGCTAAGGACTATATTTGAGTATTTCCTGTCTCCAAGATTGACACTTATCAAAACAACTTATTTCATATCACAAGTTGGCAGGAACTTAAATTTTCAGAGAAATACAAAGTTAATCTCTTTAAGTAATAAGAAATTGACATATGTTTTGGAATGGTGGTTTACAGTTCTCTCCATTATTACTCATGGACTGACCCCCTGGTGGCATAGAAAAGATAGTGGAGGTGAAGAATAGTACAGGAAGACAGGTTGACCTAATACATGGGTGTTGAAACAATCACACTACAGAATCAGTTGTATGACATTGAGTCCTACTGGAAAGACTTTGGAGGTACCCTACTTCTTAGCTGGGTGTCCAAGAGAAAGTTACCTTCTCTGAGTCTCCATTTTTTCATCTATAAAGTGAAAATAATTATGCCTCCCTTGTAAGGATATTTTAAAGAGTAGAGGAGAATGTATACAATAAGCAGCAAAGAGTAGGTAGCTATTTTTATTATTACATCTGCATGTAGATATTGCCCACGTAGATTTACACTGTACAATTTTGATTAACTTCATTTATTTCAACATCAGAACTTGCCTTTATTTAAACCTTGAGAATGTTTGATGTTCTGTTTGTTTTAGACAGATTGTTGTTTCAGAGAACCATGGTAGCAATTTCCCAAGATTATTTTTTATCTCATATTAGAGCCTCATAGACAGCTTATAAAGTCTGAGTCGAATTTCCAAGGAACATTGAAGATTTAAGACTCAGAGTCACCTGACCTCTTACTTATGGTACTCATGAAGTGGTTCTTCCTTTAGAGCCCTTTAAATATAAACATCTCAGAGGCTTGGTAGCAGTTAGCACAGGGAATATAGTCACAGTCCATGGCCTGATGATCACCTTAGACATGAGTTTTTTATCCATGGATTCTAGGAACCTGTATAAGTTAATGCCTATATTATGAATGGTCTCTTGAGAATATGGAACTCTGGAAATTTCAATCTTCTTTCCTTTTTGTATTCAAGAGTTATCAGTTTATGGTATTATGTACTATAAACAAAAACTTGTTTGGAGTTGACTCATAGCATTTTAATATATTAGAGTTATCTACCCAATACTTTAGTTACACATATCAAGATGACATTAGGAATTGAAATCATTTTAAACTTATGACAGTTAAGTCATATTTTCCCACATTCATTTTTATTTTAGAGTGAGGAAAAGTGAGTGTCCATCTTTCCAAGATTAGTTTCTATAAAGCTATGTACTAAAGTTGATGGTAAAATAAAAAATTTAGAAACAGTTATAGGAGACCCATAGTGTCCAATCAACAGAAAAGTGTTGCTGACCTTTGTTTTGCTGAGCCTAATTTTGTTACATCCTAGTTTTGTGCAAGCCTGCAGAATGCTCCAGAGGATGGCCCTATGTCTTAGGAAGAACCTTCCTACCTGCTGTGAGGAAGGAATTTCTGCAGTTATGAGAGTCCACCATGAGCATGGAGACCATGAGATTCCTAATTCATCTTTTCTGACACAAGAGACAAATACATCTTTTCTAGCTGTGACCTCTTTGAAGAGATCTGAGATTTGAGGGATTAAAACCTCTGATGATCAGTAGAGGCTATTAATTAAATGTATTAGTCAAAGTAAACTAATTTGCCAGGGTAGAGTAACTCTTTTAACAAAGTCCTTCTCTCACCCCCGAATCCATTATTATTTAGCACAATGGAAGATTACTATCCGCTCTCTTTAGAGTCCAGTGTGATAGGCTGGAAGAGTAGGGCATGTCTCAGTTCCATGAAGTGACTCAGGGCCCTAAATTCATGTTTTGATGCTGCTATCTTCAACCCATGGGCAACAAAACCATAGTGGGAAGAGGAAGAAAGAGCATGGAGGAACCCATAAGAGGTTTTATGATGGTTCTGGAAGTAGCAAACAACATTTCTGCCCACATTTTTTACTCTAGAACTCAATCACACAGTCCCAACTTAATTGCAATGAAGAATGGGTGTTGGTGTCCCTCTGTGCTCAGGAGGAAAATAAAATTAATTTGGCAAACATATATCATTGTCTATGCTACAAAATATATTTAAAAATACTCGCCTTTCATTGATGCCTTTTACGGATTTCGGAAGTAGTGTCATTGGATGGATGTACAGTTGGCAACACAGGTGCTGAACCCTGTGCAATAAAAAATCCACATATAACTTTGGACTCTCCAAAACTTAACTACTATAGCCCACTATTGACCGGAAGCTTTACTGATAACATAAACAGCTGATTAACACGGATTTTGTATGTTATATATAACTGAATTCTTATAATAAAGTAAGATAGAAAAAAGAAAATGTTATTAAGAGAATCATAAGGATGAGAAAATACATTTACAATACTATACTATATTTACCGAAAAAATCTGCAGTTCAGATCCACGTGGTCAAGGGTCAACTGTATTATTAAACAATAATGAATATAAAATAGTGGGTTAAATGCTCAATAAATCAGAGAGGCCAGTAGAAAAGCATAAACCTTAAAAATCCCAAACTGTATTGAAATAGCCTCATAAATAGATTTTATCTCAAGAAACTTTTTTAAATTGCAAAATATTCTAAAATGTAACACCTGAAAACAAATCTCCTTATCAGGAAAAGGTTATATTGTGAAGTTATTCTTTCATGAAAGAGGGATCAAAGGACTTCCATGACCTAAATGTTCATCCAAACTTGTGTCTTGTTTCTTTATAAAGGATCTCAGACAGAAATGATGCCACTAAAACATATAAGACCAATACCGTGGACAACCGACTAACCAATAGGTATCTGTATCTGTTGACTTTGGGAAAGACCCAAGTACAATGCTTTTCTAAGCATTACTTATTTATTTACAATTTTTCTGTCCTACTTGATATCTTTCTATAAATTCTTATCTTCTATTTTTTTAAACACAAAAATTCTGGAGTAAATACCTTTATTTCTCTTCATAGTAAGAGAAATAGAAAATCCTTGTGGCCTTGCTTAAAAATTGAGAATTCATTGCTTCAGGTCATTGTTTTCACCACATTCATGTTTTTGTTTTAAGTGATCCTGGTGGCAAGAGTACGGAATACATATAAATGCCAATTTTACACTCTTATTGCTAAAGAAAATTACTGAACCCAACAAATAAAAATGTTGGGCTTACTTGATATTGAATTTTATGAAATTAAATTATTTCCTTTAGAATCTAGTCCAAGACAAAAAGATCATGAAATCACCTTATCAAATTTATTCAAATACTGATGCTTTCTTTCTCTTTCTCTCAAATAATGTCTAACTTTAAATAACAACTCTAAATTCATGGACAATTGCAAATTGATGCAAGTGTTCATTCTTTGTTGCTGCTCAAACTTTTGCCTTTTTTTTTTTTTTACCAGAAACACGTCCACATTTAGATCACCAGAAGCAGCAAAGACGTATGTATTTTTCCAACTGAAGTTACATTTTAAGAATAAGTGTATTTCTTTGTACATGTTCAAGAAAAACCAGGGTATATGCTCCTAGGCCAAAGTTTCGTTATAATAAAGCCACACTCCTATTGCTTAGGCAGAGTTTAGTAGAAATAAGAAAATGGTCCATGAAGCTTTAAATATTTACTATCTGGATTTTAACAGAAAAAGTTTACCAACCTCTGCTCTCACCAAACACCTAAACTTAAGTCATTCTTTTCTTTATTTTTCTTTTTTCTTTTATTCTTTCTTTCTTTCTCCAATTTTTCATTTAAATCCAGTTAGTCAGGATACAGTGTAATATTGGTTTCAGGAGTGGAATTTAGTGATTCATCACTTACATACAACTCCCAGGGCTCATCATAACAAGTGCCCTCCTTAATACCCATCACCCATTTGATTTTTAACTTTTTTCCCCTACAGACTTTTATTTTTCCCTTTTTTATGGCCACTAACTCTTTTTTCCTGTATGTTTCATTTGTCCTTCAAAATACCCATCACATTACAATTCAACTGAGTCATGAAATTATAGGTTTGCTAGCAATGAAGTACATTTTCTCTGAAACATACTACTGGTGATTATAAACAGCCAAACTAGGTGGATTTTTGAAAACAGAATTAGTTTTTAAATTTTTATTTACACAGAAAGGAATTTTTCACCTTGGACTGCACCTTTCAGTAGTTAAAACAGACCAGGGTCACTTCTATTTTTTTTTTTGAAGATCTCTATACATTAATAAATACTAAATAAGGATTTGAAATGGTGTGGTTTTTAAATGTTTTCTTCAACAATATAATGCATTTAATGCAAAAAAAGCAATATAATTCTGCTAGTCACAATATATACAGGATTAAATATATAATATGAATCCAGAGCACATCAGAATGCATTGGTCCAGATTTCAGACACACAATGTCATATAATGAATCATTTCCTTCCTTCCTTCAGTTCTAGTTATTCAGATGAAAGCTTGATTATTTATAAAAATGGATAAACTACAGAAGAACTTGTTTTCTGTTGTCAACTGAAACATTTTTGTGGTGAATAAAGAGGAGGCAGGAATATGAGTAGATTATCAGATCTTTCAAAGGTGGGGCAGCATAAAAGTTTCAAGAATGTAATTTGTGGCTGTGATTAAACAGGCAACCTGGAAGTTTGTTCAGTGCGAACAGCACCAGCATCCCAGCTCCTACTTCTGCTACAACTCCTGTAAAGAAAAAGAGGTATGATGGACTTGTTGCATCTGCTTCTTGCTGATATTCTCTAGAGGATTGTCTTTTATTAATTGCTTTCATTTTTTAAAAAATATTTTATTTATTTATTCATGAGAGACAGAGAGAGAGGCAGAGACATAGGCAGAGGGAGGAGAAGCAGGCTCCATGCAGGAGCCTAATGTGGGACTCGATCCCAGACCCTGGGATTACATCCTGAGCCGAAGGCAGATGCTCAACCGCTGAACCACCCAGGCATCCTCTTTTATTATTTTCTGAATGAATTCATCCACCAAGACATCCAGATGGCATTCAGAAGTTGGTCTCTCATCCTTGCTCCCCCCTCTCTCTTTCCAGGGATCCAGTGCCTACTGGATCATGGTGTCCTCAAACTTTGTCCTTTTCTGTCTAATTTCCTTTTCAAACATGCAGTCTTGGGGTGCCTGGGTGGCTCAGTCGCTAAATGCTTGAATTTTTATTTTGGCTCAGGTCATGATCACAGGGTTGTGAAATGGAGCCCCGTGTAGCTCTGCCCTCAGCATGGAGTCTGCTTGTGGATTCTTTTCCCTCTGCCCCTCCTCCTGCTCATGTGATAGATAGATAGATAGATAGATAGATAGATAGATAGATAAATAAATAAATAAATAATAATCTTAAAAAACAAATATGCAATCTTTTCTCCAGGTTTCCTGAGGTCTTGAATATCTAGGTAATGTTTTTAATGACAGAGCTCAGCAAAGGGTAAGCTACTTCAGGTAACACCCTTAGTAGAGTCCTACTACAAGGAATGCTTTACCCTGAAATAATTATGACTGTGGGGTGACCGGATATCACCACACTCCTGAAATCAGCCTGCATTGTTGCTGCCTCCTCTATTCTGTAGATTAGGTTGACCCTACTTCCAAGTACAGAGTCAAAGGCTCTATGCTGAGACATCAATGTTTGTGTGATCATGCTTCCTTCTCCGACATCCCGGGTGGCCTCCCACCTTCTGCCTGCGTAGATGTCTGTTTATTTAGTAGGCACAGAGAAGTAGCTAGACCTGTGGTGATAGAATATTCTTCCAGAGACAGAAGTTGAGGGTCGAAGCAATTTTTGCTTGTTGACGAGAACACAGTGCTAGTGAATCACAATGAAATGGAAAACAAACATTCATGAACCTCAGTGCATTCAAAATGTTTTTATTCTCTTTGCCTGCACTTAAGACTGTGCCTCGTTTGGGTAGGTGCTCAATGTTTGTTGATGGGCTGGCTGATTGCCAAAATGCTCCTGCAGTCAGAATTCTGGTTGTGTCTGCAGAGTCTCAAAAAATGTAATCACCTTTCTCTTGGACCCAAATTTCATATCTCTTACCCACTTCAAAACTCTTTCCTCTGACAGGTTAGGCATAAGTCAGGATCATTGAAGCCAGCAATAAGACTCTTACTTTTGTCGATGAGTAGTATCAACTACTTACATTAAGTTGAAATTGGCTTTGATCTCATCCTAGCTCAGTCCTGAAGTGCCTCAGAGAATAGACTTGCTTCATGAATTTACAGCCAGCTCTCCTTATCCCAGCCATTCCTTCTCTGGGCTTTCTTCTGACATGTCACTCTCCTCTAAACATCTTCATCTTTGATCCATATCTAAGTCTTTCTGACAGAGCCCCAAGCTATCTTTATCAATTAAAATTAAGTCCTGGTAATGTGAAGACATCTTTCTAATTGGATATATATGTGTTTGTATATATACATATATGTATATATAATTGAGGTTAACATTACTGGGGCATTTACTTATGTTTTCAATATTCTTACTTTCAGAATTTTTCACTTTATCATACAGCTTTTTAGAAACTATAGATACAGAGTAGAACATAAGATTGATTTTGATTATAAAATATTTCAGATATGTAGAAAATAGAAAAAGAGGGATGTTTATGATAAACACCCATGTACCCACTAACTAGATTTAACAAATATTAATTTCTAGATACTTCATATTTCTTCTGTTTTTTTTTTAGTTTTTATTTTGTTTAATAAATTTAATTTTATTGGTGTTCATTTCAATTTACCAACATACAGAATAACTCCGCATGCTCATCCCGTCAAGTGTACCCCCGCCGTCCCTTCACCCTTCACCCCCACCCAACCCCCGTCCGTCCCCTTCCACACCCCTATTCCAATTCCCAGAGTTTGAATCTGTATTTCTGTGTCCCTTTCTGATATCTTCCCCACACATTGCCTCCCTTCCCATAATTCCCCTTCTCTATTATTCATATGCCCCAATGATGAAACATACACTGTTTGTCCTACTCCGATTGACTCACTTTCACTCAGCATAACACCTCCTTTCCACCACGTGAAGCAAAGGTTGTATTTGTCGTTTCTAATGCTGAGTAATTGTCCATGTATACATAAACCACATCTTCGGTATCCATTCATCTTCGATGCACCGAGGCCTCCTATCCAACAGTTGGCTATTTGACATGCTCTAGAAACATCGGCAGGTGCCCGCCGTTTCATCATGCTCTGAATCTTCGGGGTCAAATCCCTAACAGTGCAAATGCTGGATCTAGGCAGGCTATTTTAATTCTTTGAGGAACCTCCACACTGTTTTTCCAGAGGTGGCTGCACCAGTTTTCACATCCGCACCAACATGTAAGAGGTTCCCCTTTCTCCCATCCGCTCCAACATATTGTTGTTTCCTGCCTTGTTTATTTTCACCCCCCAAGTCTCACTGTGTGAGGTGGTATATCCCATTGTTTGATTGTATTTCTCTGATGCAGAGATGCAGAGCATTTTTCTCATGGTGCATGTTGGCCATGTCCTATGTCTAAATTCTTTTTGAAAGAACCACCCACATGTTGTGTCAAAAAACAAAGAAAGGAGCTTACTTGGGGAGCAGAGAGCCTGGATTGCAGTATAGTTACTTCCAACTGAGTTTAAGAAAGCTTTCATTTTATTCCCAGGGCTTACTGAAAAGTCGTCTCAATGCCTTTTAACTGTCAAATTATTTTCAGCTTTTCCTGGTAGACATGTGGGTGGCATAAGGTCTTTCAAGCACCACGTTTATAACTGATGTTGTTTCTTAACAGACAGTCCTGGTTTCCACCACCTCCTCCTGGTTACAGTGCCACCCCAAGCACGGGAGCAAACAGAAGGTAAGGGAAAGGTGGCTGATGTAATTGCTATGTAACTTAATGGAAGAATGCGTCAGATATTGACCATATATAATTGTGGAGGCTTTGGAATAAATCAGAGGAGATCTTGTGAATTCTGAGAGCTGAACAAGACAGGGCTCAGTGGGAATAAGGTCAGGCTATCAGTGCCTCTGGTAGGAAATCTTACAAGGTGCGAGAAATACTTAGCTGTGTTAGTTTGCTAAGAGCTGCCATAACAAAGTCCCACAAACTGGGTGGCTTAATAAAAATGTTTCTCACAGCTCCAAAGGCTGGAAGTCCAAGATCAAGGTGTTGTCAGTCTTGGTTCCCTCTGCAGGCTGGGAGGGAGAATCTGTTCCATGCTCTCTCCTGTTTTCTGGTGGTTTCCAGTCACCCTTTGGCATTCCTGAGTCGGTATAAGCATCATCCAGATCTCTCCCTTCATCTTTACAAGATATTCTCCCTGAGTGCATGTCTGTGTCCCACATTTCCCCTTCTTAAGAGGACACTAGTCGTATTGGATATGCAGTCTATCCAACTCCACTATGACCTTGTCCTCACATATCTAATTACATCGCAATGACCCTATTTCCAAGGAAGGTCACATCTGAGGCAGGTTAGGGCTTCAACATGTGAATTTTGGGAGGCATACAATTCAACCCACAAGTGGCTGAGGAGAGAATGGAATCAAGCACCAGGCACGACTCAAAAGTGGGCTCCTGATACACCACCCCTTCCAGGCAGTGATGAACCCAAATGACTGGATAAGGATATGAGCTGCAAGTTTTTTGTAAACTTTAAGGGATGAATGGGTGTTTTCTACTTTTATTTTTTTGTTGAGATCAATTATTATAACTAAGATTATAGACCATGTGGATGGCACTTTGTTCTACAAAATCTGTGCTAGGAATGTCAACAACCATTTAATTTAATATGTGATTATTGTGTGCCAGATATTGTTCTAAGATCCTGGGATGTATCAGTGAAGAAAACATGGAGCTACACTCTGATCTTCAAAGCAGCAGACATATGTGCCGAACTCCTATTATCTATGCCGTCTCTAACACACAAAGAAAAATAAGTTTCTGATTTGGTTTTGCTTTAGGGTATCCAAAATTATTTTTATATCTTCAACTCCCAGAATATCTTCACTGAATATTTCCATGTTCCAATAGGATTTATTTTCCCAATTCAACAATTGGAAAAAAGAGTTATTAAACAATGTGCTTGTTTAGTATTAGATTGTTTTATTTCCTAAAATTGTCATATGTTGTGTAGGCGTTTAATGTCTCTTTTATTTCCAAATAACAGAAATATTTGGAAATAAATATCCTTTATTATAATTTAGGCTGGCTCTATAGGTTGTAAATAAATTTAGTTCATCAATAGACACAAGAGCTCTTTCTATACATGTTGCATCTGTATATATATCTGTATATATATACACATATATACATATTACACATAAATATATATATATTATTTATACATGTATAATTATTAAACACGTTGAACAATCACAACTTGGAATTACATCCACCTTCTGTTAAAATATTTTCTTTTTGAATCTCATTTATAGGTGACTTCTAATTATATGAGCTGCCAAGTATGGATTTTGTTTCTAGTTTAAAACCTTCTTTCCCCTCAGTCAGTGTTTAGATATGTCTCTATGAATAACACCTTTTATGGAGCTACCTAAGTGGGGAAAATATTAGCTAGGGGTTTTGCTAGGAAACTATTGTTTCCTGAGTATTTTAAGGTCTATCCAATTTTGTCTTGATAGATAATTGGTACTTAAAAATATTTATTACTTATTTCTAAAATCTTATGTTCATCTTCTATTTATTATTCCAATATTAATGTAAAATTATCATTACAATAAGCAACTGGTTATATGACTATAAAAATACAGAAGGGTTATTCATGAGTTAATATCTCATGCTTTCAATGCCCATTAAACTTGTGGACCTCTGTTTGCACAGAATTGGTAGTGCTTGGCTATATGCCCTTACGATTTATTCATTGCTGGGTATAATTTTACATTGAAGATAAAATGAGTCACAATGCTCCTATTTCTGGATCCTAGATCAGATCCATAGCGCCAGAACTAAAGGAAAGAGAAAATTATTGGACTAGGTTGATCAATTTAGATATCCTTTCCTTTTTTAGAGGCACAGATTATTAATATAATGGCTAAACTGAAAGACTCCTCTTTGAGGATCAGAGCTAATGTCATGCCAAGCTTTCAGGGGAAGAAGGGAATAATAACAATATACCAGTCTTTGATTTCTAAAGTGCTTTTCTTTGGAAGAGCTCAGAGTACAGCTTCTGTTTCTCACCTTTAATGCCAGTGCATTCCTAGGGCTGAAAAAAGAGCCTTTTTTAGTGGAAGCTGAAAAATAGAAGCAATTATTAAATAATAAAAGGAAGCAAAGGCTTCAAAAAGAGATCTTTGTCCCCAGAAGAATGCAAAGAAAATGAAAATAGGTCAAAAAAATATAAAAATGGGGGACTATGATTTTTAATACTAGCTAATAGCCCAATCCTAAGTATATTTCCCCATCCCTCACTTATACACTGGTCTCCTCTCTTTTCCCTTGCTCCTGACTCCTGCAAGAGAATTTCCCCTTAATACTGACACTCTCACTCTCCTTCCTGTTTTTCATCTTGTGAACCTTCATTTCTCCTATCACCTAATCTTTCCCAGAATTTTAATTTTCTCTCACACACCCATGTCTGTGCAGCATGTTCGAAAAGACCATCAGACTTCCCAGCCATTGTTGGAGTGAGTCCTTTTATTCAACTTTTTTCCCCCTTGACGTCTCCATGGTCGTCTCCGTGGTTTGACACCATGGATCACCCTGTCCCTCAGTTGTTCCTTTCTTGACTTATAGAATATGGGAAAATCAAACTTAGGTGTGTTTGAATTAAAAATTTGCTTTGGCATTGTGTTTGGATTAAAATCTATTACAGGTATATATAAGCTGCCTTACAAATCATCTCAAGCTTTTTTTTTTATCAGCAGAAGGACTCACGCTATCAGAGCTTTATCTATACTTATATGTATACGTATATCTATCCCTATGACTACATAGGACTATATTTACATCTATGTCTCTTTCTATACCTACAACTATAGCTATACCTACAGGTAATTCTATACACAGTTAATATAAGGTTGGTGAGTTGAACTAGAGATTAAATGATAAAATTTAATTTTCTAAAATAACCATATATAACAGCTAAAGAAAGAAAGCAATTTCTTAAAATAGATATCCTTTTATGTATGGTATACATTAGTCTTACAATGAGAGATAAGATCTGGGTGATCAAACAGAATTTTGGAGTTAAGAGTTAAATATCTTTGAAAATCTCTTGCTTTTTTTTTTTCTTAACAAGATTAAAGAGAGAAGCTGTGGTTTATGGTAACAAGATATAGCATGTAAAGCTTTAAACTTAAATGAAACCTTTTCTAGCTGGTTTCTAAGGCAGCTCCTTGGTCATTGGGATGGAAATATTCTCTGACCTCCTCTTCCTTTTCTTGCTGAGAAGAGAAACAACCAGCATAGTATTTTGAATGACCAACCTAGACAACAAGGTTATTTGTTCTGAAACCTTATCAAATTCCCTGGAACCTATAATTTCATTTCATTTTAATTAAGACTGAATCAAGATTTTACCTTTTATAATTGCTGTTCCTTGTTACAGTCAGCTGTCTCTCCTGTTACCTCTGTGATCAAACCCCTGCTTCACTGATTTCCCCACATTTCCATGTTCAAACCCCTTTCATCTTAAAAAAATAGCTTCTTGAAAAGTAATAGCCTAGGGAGCCCTGGATGGCTTACTCAGTTAAGTGTCAGACTCTTGATTTCAGCTCAGGTCATGATCTCAGGGTGGAACAATCCAGCCCTATGTAGGCTCCACACCCAGTGTGCTTAAGATTCTCTCTCTCCCTCTCCCTTTGCCCTCCTCCTCCCCACACGCATGCTTTCTCTTTTTCTCAAAAAAAAAAGCCTAGGGGCACCTGGGTGGCTCAGTTGATTAAGCATCTCACTCTTGATCTCAGCTTGGGTCTTTATCTCATGGTTCTGAGTTCAAACCCCACCTTGGGCTCCCTGCTGGACATGGAGCCTACTTAAAAAAAAATAATAGCCTAATTACACAAATCCATTAGACTGGCATCTTATCTCTCCATTGCAACCAAAGTTTTCAGAAAAGTTGATGATACTTGCCATCTTTATTTTCTGGTTCCCACTACCATTAGTTCATAGAAATAGCGCTCGCTCCTCAAGGTCACAAATGACTTTGCTGATAAATTCTTATTGACATTTCAGTCCCTATGACTACTTGACCTTTCAAAAGGCATCACTGGCTGTTCATGCCTTTAGGAAATTTCTCTCCTTGTCTTTTGAGAAGCTCCTCAACCCCCAACCCTCCCCTGCCCCAAACATACTCTTGGGTTTCTTTCCTCTAACGATTCTTTCTCAGTCTCCTTTGCCACATCGTCATCCTATACTAGCCATTAATTGTTGATGCTCCTAAAGCCTCAAAGTTCCTTCCCTCTTATTCTACATTCTGCTCCTCCACAAATTATCCATGCCCAGGGCTTCAATGTCCACATTTGTGCTCTTGACTCCATTTATATCTACTCCACACCTCTTCTCTGACTGATTTTGGTTAGCTAACTGCCTATTCAACATCTTCCCTTAAATTTCTCAGAAGCCTTGCAAACATAACATGTTCAAAATGAAATTCATAATTTTCCACACTAACTTGGTGCTCTATCTCAATTAGTAATACCGTGCTCAGCCCACTGACACTTGAAAACTTGAAGTTATTTTTTGTACTTTTCTTTCCTTAATCACCAATATTCAATCCATTTAGTAGATCCTATCAAGTTATCTACAAAATGTCTCTTGAATCCATATGCTTCCCTCCATTTCTGCCATCATATCTTTTCTGGACTGTAGTAGTAGCTACCTAGGTATTCTCTCTTCATC